AGTTTACTTTATGTCAACAATAACTCAATGGAGCTGTTTTAAAAATAAGATAGAATAGGGCCGGCCTGGTGGCGCACTGCTACAGTGCACTGCTTGGGAGCGCGGAGGGGCTCCCGCCAAGGGTTCAGATCCCACATACAGACCGGCCGCTCACTGGCTGAGCGAGGTGCAGGTGCAGCACCGAGGGTTGTGATCCGTTGCCGGTCACGAAAAAAGACAAAAAGGAAAAAAAAAATAAGATAGAATAAATTTCTTTTTCTTTTTTTTTTTTTCTTTTTGTCTTTTTTCGTGACCGGTAACGGGATTGCAACCCTCAGTGTCGCGCCCACACCGCAACCGGCAACGGGATTGCAACCCTCGGTGTCACTCCCGCACCGTGCTCAACCAGTGAGTGGACCGGTCTCTATATGGGATCCGAACCCTCAGCCGGAGCGCCGCTGCGCTCCCAAGTGCCGCACTCTACCGAGTGCGCCACTGGGCCGGCCCCCCCCTTTTTTTTTTTTTATAAGATGACCAATAAGGGGATCTTAACCCTTGACTTGGTGTTGTCAGCACCAGGCTCTACCAAGTGAGCTAACCGGCCATCCCTATATAGGATCCGAACCAATGGCCTTGGTATTATCAGCACCACACTCTCCCAAATGAGCCATGGCTGGTCCTATAAATAAATTTCTTTTTTAAAGAATCTTTTATATCAGCGTGGTGAACCTTGTAGCAGGTACCTATCTGAGTATCCTTCAAGCAGGCCCCAGAAGTGGAATTCCTGCCTTTGAGAGTGCAAACCTTTTCCAGGTTCTTGATATCTCTTGACAGATTGCAGGAGGTGTCAGCAATGTGTGTTCTGAAAGCTGAGCAGGAGATGGGGAGACTGAAAAAATTGGTTAAGTCCACAGATTGTTAAATAGAGAAGAGGATACAATGCTTTATTCAGTAGGTACAAAACTATTTAAAATATATTTCAGCTCCATATTATGTGACATTGAAGAAGGGGAGAGGGACGGAACCATGCCCAAATGGGACACAGGAGAGGAACAACCCAGCAGACAAGTCTCTGCACCTGTCAGCCTCAGCTTCTCACCTGGCACCTGGCGGGGAGGGGCAGACACGGCCGTCTCTGACACCATTTCCTTCCTGCCACTCTGATTGACAAGCAGCTTTCCCCCGTCCGTCCATTCCATCATTCAATAACCATGTCATCTTCTCTCTCCCCCTTCCCCCATCCCCACATCTTCCTCTGAATTAGATGGAGGCTACAATAACTTCTCTGGGATGTGTTTAGTGACAAGAGAAATAATGCCCTTTGGATGGGATCAGCCACACCCTGAAATTATCCAAGTTAGTAACGTGTTAGTAAATGTTGCTAAATGCAAACATTTATGAAATGCCTCTGATGTGCTGACAGTTCATGAAATGTTGGCTGTGTAGATGTTGCTGTTAATGGGACACAGTCTCCACCCTCTGGAAGTGCACGGCTTGGCGGGGGTGCAGACGCACAAGCAGATTCTGGGGACAGAATTTTCTGTGAGCCGGAGATAAGCAATGCCATTGGCCCAAGTGTCTCACTTTTTGGAAACATTTGGTCTCACATGGTTCTGAACAACATGTCATGGGGTAAAGAGAACTGAGATAAGGCATTCAGCAGAAGAACAGATCAGGTGGCTTGGACAACGCAATCCTATCGTGACAAGGTGCCAAGACCTGTCTGTCCTGCTTAAGCCTTTATGTAAAAATAATAATAACCAGCAACTCCCTCACTCCTATAGATGATCTATACCCAAAG